TTTGCCTTTGTTAACAAAACCGATTCTTTTTTATTCCATTAGTTTGATATATCCAAAAAAATCAGGAACAACATATTTCGGGTGAATTTACGGGAAACAGAACACTTGCAAAAAACGTTTGAATTATCTTCACTGACATAAATCTTCGACTAATGATCCTAAAAAGGGCCTTGTTTCCAAGAGACGTGCAATATGCAGCCAATAATTTTTGCTTGAAAGCGTGCTTTTCTTTAAAGACGGTCGTAGGTCCTGCCGAGATTTGAACTCGGATCCTTGGATTCAAAGTCCAAAGTGCTAACCATTACACCACAGAACCAACTTGAAATTTGTTTTGAAACGCATTTTTTCATTAAAGATTATAACGATGCATATAGGACTGTTCACCATGAATTTCTCCATTCCAACTATCCTGCAAATTTTTTCTATCCCCGATTCTCGACATTTTCTCCATCTATTCGCTACCTTCGATTTTTAACGAAAATTACAATGATGTTTTGAACATTACCATATCTTGCGTTGATAGTGTAATGGTTAGCATTGCTGCCTTCCAAGCAGTAGATCTGGGTTCGATTCCCGGTCAACGCATATCCGCTTTCGGGTCTTCATCATCCTCAATTTGAATGAAATTATTGCATGGTTTTACGGCGACAATGGAAAATAACTTTTGCCTTTGTTAACAAAACCGATTCTTTTTTATTCCATTAGTTTGATATATCCAAAAAAATCAGGAACAACATATTTCGGGTGAATTTACGGGAAACAGAACACTTGCAAAAAACGTTTGAATTATCTTCACTGACATAAATCTTCGACTAATGATCCTAAAAAGGGCCTTGTTTCCAAGAGACGTGCAATATGCAGCCAATAATTTTTTGCTTGAAAGCGTGCTTTTCTTAAAGACGGTCGTAGGTCCTGCCGAGATTTGAACTCGGATCCTTGGATTCAAAGTCCAAAGTGCTAACCATTACACCACAGAACCAACTTGAAATTTGTTTTGAAACGCATTTTTTTCATTAAAGATTATAACGATGCATATAGGACTGTTCACCATGAATTTCTCCATTCCAACTATCCTGCAAATTTTTTCTATCCCAGATTCTCGACATTTTCTCCATCTATTCGCTACCTTCGATTTTTAACGAAAATTACAATGATGTTTTGAACATTACCATATCTTGCGTTGATAGTGTAATGGTTAGCATTGCTGCCTTCCAAGCAGTAGATCTGGGTTCGATTCCCGGTCAACGCATATCCGCTTTCGGGTCTTCATCATCCTCAATTTGAATGAAATTATTGCATGGTTTTACGGCGACAATAGAAATTAACTTTTGCCTTTGTTAACAAAACCGATTCTTTTTTATTCCATTAGTTTGATATATCCAAAAAAATCAGGAACAACATATTTCGGGTGAATTTACGAGAAACAGAACACTTGCAAAAAACGTTTGAATTATCTTCACTGACATAAATCTTCGACTAATGATCCTAAAAAGGGCCTTGTTTCCAAGAGACGTGCAATATGCAGCCAATAATTTTTTGCTTGAAAGCGTGCTTTTCTTTAAAGACGGTCGTAGGTCCTGCCGAGATTTGAACTCGGATCCTTGGATTCAAAGTCCAAAGTGCTAACCATTACACCACAGAACCAACTTGAAATTTGTTTTGAAACGCATTTTTTTCATTAAAGATTATAACGATGCATATAGGACTGTTCACCATGAATTTCTCCATTCCAACTATCCTGCAAATTTTTTCTATCCCCGATTCTCGACATTTTCTCCATCTATTCGCTACCTTCGATTTTTAACGAAAATTACAATGATGTTTTGAACATTACCATATCTTGCGTTGATAGTGTAATGGTTAGCATTGCTGCCTTCCAAGCAGTAGATCTGGGTTCGATTCCCGGTCAACGCATATCCGCTTTCGGGTCTTCATCATCCTCAATTTGAATGAAATTATTGCATGGTTTTACGGCGACAATGGAAAATAACTTTTGCCTTTGTTAACAAAACCGATTCTTTTTTATTCCATTAGTTTGATATATCCAAAAAAATCAGGAACAACATATTTCGGGTGAATTTACGGGAAACAGAACACTTGCAAAAAACGTTTGAATTATCTTCACTGCGATAAATCTTCGACTAATGATCGTAAAAAGGGCCTCGTTTCCAAGAGGCGTGCAGTGCAGCCAATATTTTTTTTGCTTCAAAGCGTGATTTGCGTTATACACGGTCATAGGTCCTGCCGAGATTTGAACTCGGATCCTTGGATTCAAAGTCCAAAGTGCTAACCATTACACCACAGAACCAACTTGCAAATTGAAATTAGGTTTGAAACGCATTTTTTTATCAAGGATTATAACGATGCATATAGGACTTTTCACCATGAAATTCTCCATTCAAATTTTTCACTACACCACAAAACCAACTTTAGATTAGTTTCGAAACGCATTTTTTATCAAGGATATATAACGATGCATATAAGACTGTTCACCATGAATTTCTCCATTCGAACTAGCGTGCAAACTTTTTCAATCCCCGATTTCTTCATTCTCTCCATCTATTTGCTACCTTCGATTTTTAACAAAAATAATGATGTTTTGATCAATTACCATATTTTGCGTTGATGGTGTAATGGTTAGCATTGCTGCCTTCCAAGCAGTAGATCTGGGTTCGATTCCCGGTCAACGCTTATCCGCTTTCGGGTCTTCATCATCCTCAATTTAAATAAAAATATTGCATGGTTTTACGGCGACAATAGAAATTAACTTTTGCCTTTGTTAACAAAACCGATTCTTTTTTATTCCATTAGTTTGATATATCCAAAAAAAATCAGGAACAACATATTTCGAGTGAATTTACGGGAAACAGAACACTTGCAAAAAACGTTTGAATTATCTTCACTGCCATAAATCTTCGACTAATGATCCTAAAAAGGGCCTTGTTTCCAAGAGACGTGCAATATGCCGCCAATAATTTTTGCTTGAAAGCGTGCTTTTCTTTAAAGACGGTCGTAGGTCCTGCCGAGATTTGAACTCGGATCCTTGGATTCAAAGTCCAAAGTGCTAACCATTACACCACAGAACCAACTTGAAATTTGTTTTGAAACGCATTTTTTTCATTAAAGATTATAACGATGCATATAGGACTGTTCACCATGAATTTCTCCATTCCAACTATCCTGCAAATTTTTTCTATCCCCGATTCTCGACATTTTCTCCATCTATTCGCTACCTTCGATTTTTAACGAAAATTACAATGATGTTTTGAACATTACCATATCTTGCGTTGATAGTGTAATGGTTAGCATTGCTGCCTTCCAAGCAGTAGATCTGGGTTCGATTCCCGGTCAACGCATATCCGCTTTCGGGTCTTCATCATCCTCAATTTGAATGAAATTATTGCATGGTTTTACGGCGACAATGGAAAATAACTTTTGCCTTTGTTAACAAAACCGATTCTTTTTTATCCATTAGTTTGATATATCCAAAAAAATCAGGAACAACATATTTCGGGTGAATTTACGGGAAACAGAACACTTGCAAAAAACGTTTGAATTATCTTCACTGACATAAATCTTCGACTAATGATCCTAAAAAGGGCCTTGTTTCCAAGAGACGTGCAATATGCAGCCAATAATTTTTTTGCTTGAAAGCGTGCTTTTCTTTAAAGACGGTCGTAGGTCCTGCCGAGATTTGAACTCGGATCCTTGGATTCAAAGTCCAAAGTGCTAACCATTCACACCAGAACCAACTTGAAATTTGTTTTGAAACGCATTTTTTTCATTAAAGATTATAACGATGCATATAGGACTGTTCACCATGAATTTCTCCAATCCAACTATCCTGCAAATTTTTTCTATCCCCGATTCTCGACATTTTCTCCATCTATTCGCTACCTTCGATTTTTAACGAAAATTACAATGATGTTTTGAACATTACCATATCTTGCGTTGATAGTGTAATGGTTAGCATTGCTGCCTTCCAAGCAGTAGATCTGGGTTCGATTCCCGGTCAACGCATATCCGCTTTCGGGTCTTCATCATCCTCAATTTGAATGAAATTATTGCATGGTTTTACGGCGACAATGGAAATAACTTTTGCCTTTGTTAACAAAACCGATTCTTTTTTTTCCATTAGTTTGATATATCCAAAAAAATCAGGAACAACATATTTCGGGTGAATTTACGGGAAACAGAACACTTGCAAAAACGTTTGAATTATCTTCACTGACATAAATCTTCGACTAATGATCCTAAAAAGGGCCTTGTTTCCAAGAGACGTGCAATATGCAGCCAATAATTTTTTGCTTGAAAGCGTGCTTTTCTTAAAGACGGTCGTAGGTCCTGCCGAGATTTGAACTCGGATCCTTGGATTCAAAGTCCAAAGTGCTAACCATTACACCACAGAACCAACTTGAAATTTGTTTTGAAACGCATTTTTTTCATTAAAATTATAACGATGCATATAGGACTGTTCACCATGAATTTCTCCATTCCAACTATCCTGCAAATTTTTTCTATCCCAGATTCTCGACATTTTCTCCATCTATTCGCTACCTTCGATTTTAACGAAAATTACAATGATGTTTTGAACATTACCATATCTTGCGTTTGATAGTGTAATGGTTAGCATTGCTGCCTTCCAAGCAGTAGATCTGGGTTCGATTCCCGGTCAACGCATATCCGCTTTCGGGTCTTCATCATCCTCAATTTGAATGAAATTATTGCATGGTTTTACGGCGACATAGAAATTAACTTTTGCCTTTGTTAACAAAACCGATTCTTTTTTATTCCATTAGTTTGATATATCCAAAAAAATCAGGAACAACATATTTCGGGTGAATTTACGAGAAACAGAACACTTGCAAAAAACGTTTGAATTACTTCACTGACATAAATCTTCGACTAATGATCCTAAAAAGGGCCTTGTTTCCAAGAGACGTGCAATATGCAGCCAATAATTTTTTGCTTGAAAGCGTGCTTTTTTTAAAGACGGTCGTAGGTCCTGCCGAGATTTGAACTCGATCCTTGGATTCAAAAGTCCAAAGTGCTAACCATTACACCACAGAACCAACTTGAAATTTGTTTTGAAACGCATTTTTTTCATTAAAGATTATATAACGATGCATATAGGACTGTTCACCATGAATTTCTCCATTCCAACTATCCTGCAAATTTTTTATCCCCGATTCTCGACATTTTCCATCTATTCGCTACCTTCGATTTTAACGAAAATTACAATGATGTTTTGAACATTACCATATCTTGCGTTGATAGTGTAATGGTTAGCATTGCTGCTTCCAAGCAGTAGATCTGGGTTCGATTCCCGGTCAACGCATATCCGCTTTCGGGTCTTCATCATCCTCAATTTGAATGAAATTATTGCATGGTTTTACGGCGACAATGGAAAATAACTTTTGCCTTTGTTAACAAAACCGATTCTTTTTATTCCATTAGTTTGATATATCCAAAAAAATCAGGAACAACATATTCGGGTGAATTTACGGGAAACAGAACACTTGCAAAAAACGTTTGAATTATCTTCACTGCGATAAATCTTCGACTAATGATCGTAAAAAGGGCCTCGTTTCCAAGAGGCGTGCAGTGCAGCCAATATTTTTTTTGCTTCAAAGCGTGATTTGCGTTATACACGGTCATAGGTCCTGCCGAGATTGAACTCGGATCCTTGGATTCAAAGTCCAAAGTGCTAACCATTACACCACAGAACCAACTTGCAAATTGAAATTAGGTTTGAAACGCATTTTTTTATCAAGGATTATAACGATGCATATAGGACTTTTCACCATGAAATTCTCCATTCAAAATTTTTTCACTACACCACAAAACCAACTTTAGATTAGTTTCGAAACGCATTTTTTATCAAGGATTATAACGATGCATATAAGACTGTTCACCATGAATTTCTCCATTCGAACTAGCGTGCAAACTTTTTCAATCCCCGATTTTCTTCATTCTCTCCATCTATTTGCTACTTCGATTTTTAACAAAAAATAATGATGTTTTGATCAATTACCATATTTTGCGTTGATGGTGTAATGGTTAGCATTGCTGCCTTCCAAGCAGTAGATCTGGGTTCGATTCCCGGTCAACGCTTATCCGCTTTCGGGTCTTCATCATCCTCAATTTAAATAAAATATTGCATGGTTTTACGGCGACAATAGAAATTAACTTTTGCCTTTGTTAACAAAACCGATTCTTTTTTTCCATTAGTTTGATATATCCAAAAAAAATCAGGAAACATATTTCGAGTGAATTTACGGGAAACAGAACACTTGCAAAAAACGTTTGAATTATCTTCACTGCCATAAATCTTCGACTAATGATCCTAAAAAGGGCCTTGTTTCCAAGAGACGTGCAATATGCCGCCAATAATTTTTGCTTGAAAGCGTGCTTTCTTTAAAGACGGTCGTAGGTCTGCCGAGATTTGAACTCGGATCCTTGGATTCAAAGTCCAAAGTGCTAACCATTACACTACAGAACCAACTTGAAATTGGTTTTGAAACGCATTTTTTTGATCAAGGATTATAACGATGCATATAGGACTATTCACATGAATTTCTCCATCTCAACTAGCCTGCAAATTTTTTCTATCCCCGATTTTCGTCATTCTATCCATCTATTTGCTACTTCGATTTTTAACAAAAAGTACAATGATGTTTTGAACATTACATATCTTGCGTTGATGGTGTAATGGTTAGCATTGCTGCCTTCCAACAGTAGATCTGGGTCGATTCCTGGTCAACGCATATCCGCTTTCAGGCCTTCATCATCCCAACTTGAATGAAAATATTGCATTGTTTTACGGCGACAATGGAAATAACTTTTGCCTTTGTTAACAAAACCGATTCTTTTTTTATTCCATTAGTTTGATATATCCAAAAAAATCAGGAACAACATATTTCGGGTGAATTTACGGGAAACAGAACACTTGCAAAAAACGTTTGAATTATCTTCACTGCGATAAATCTTCGACTTATGAACGTAAAAGGGCCTCGTTTCCAAGAGGCGTGCAGTGCAGCCAATATTTTTTTTGCTTCAAAGCGTGATTTGCGTTCACGGTCATAGGTCCTGCCGAGATTTGAACTCGGATCCTTGGATTCAAAGTCCAAAGTGCTAACCATTACACCACAGAACCAACTTGCGAATTGAAATTAGGTTTAAAACGCATTTTTTTATAAAGGATTATAACGAGCATATAGGACTTTTCACCATGAAATTCTCCATTCAAAATTTTTTCACTACACCACAGAACCAACTTTAGATTGGTTTCGAAACGCATTTTTTATCAAGGATATAACGATGCATATAAGACTGTTCACCATGAATTTCTCCATTCGAACTAGCGTGCAAACTTTTTCAATCCCCGATTTTCTTCATTCTCTCCATCTATTTGCTACCTTCGATTTTTAACAAAAAATAATGATGTTTTGATCAATTACCATATTTAGCGTTGATGGTGTAATGGTTAGCATTGCTGCCTTCCAAGCAGTAGATCTGGGTTCGATTCCCGGTCAACGCTTATCCGCTTTCGGGTCTTCATCATCCTCAATTTAAATAAAAATATTGCATGGTTTTACGGCGACAATAGAAATTAACTTTTGTCTTTGTTAACAAAACCGAATCTTTTTTATTCCATTAGTTTGATATATCCAAAAAAAATCAGGAACAACATATTTCGAGTGAATTTACGGGAAACAGAACACTTGCAAAAAACGTTTGAATTATCTTCACTGCGATAAATCTTCGACTAATGATCGTAAAAAGGGCCTCGTTTCCAAGAGGCGTGCAGTGCAGCCAATATTTTTTTTGCTTCAAAGCGTGATTTGCGTTATACACGGTCATAGGTCCTGCCGAGATTTGAACTCGGATCCTTGGATTCAAAGTCCAAAGTGCTAACCATTACACCACAGAACCAACTTGCAAATTGAAATTAGGTTTGAAACGCATTTTTTTATCAAGGATTATAACGATGCATATAGGACTTTTCACCATGAAATTTCCATCAAAATTTTCATACACCACAAACCAACTTTAGATAGTTTCGAAACGCATTTTTATCAAGGATTATAACGATGCATATAAGACTGTTCACCATGAATTTCTCCATTCGAACTAGCGTGCAAACTTTTTCAATCCCCGATTTTCTTCATTCTCTCCATCTATTTGCTACCTTCGATTTTTAACAAAAAATAATGATGTTTTGATCAATTACCATATTTTGCGTTGATGGTGTAATGGTTAGCATTGCTGCCTTCCAAGCAGTAGATCTGGGTTCGATTCCCGGTCAACGCTTATCCGCTTTCGGGTCTTCATCTCAATTGAAATGGCATTTTACGGCGACAAAGAAATAACTTTTGCCTTTGTTAACAAAACCGATTCTTTTTATTCCATTAGTTTGATATATCCAAAAAAATCAGGAACAACATATTTCGAGTGAATTTACGGGAAACAGAACACTTGCAAAAAACGTTTGAATTATCTTCACTGCATAAATCTTCGACTAATGATCCTAAAAGGGCCTTGTTTCCAAGAGAAATGCGCCAAATTTTTGCTTGAAAGCGTGCTTTTCTTTAAAGACGGTCGTAGGTCCTGCCGAGATTTGAACTCGGATCCTTGGATTCAAAGTCCAAAGTGCTAACCATTACACCACAGAACCAACTTGAAATTTGTTTTGAAACGCATTTTTTTCATTAAAGATTATAACGATGCATATAGGACTGTTCACCATGAATTTCTCCATTCCAACTATCCTGCAAATTTTTTCTATCCCGATTCTCGACATTTTCTCCATCTATTCGCTACCTTCGATTTTTAACGAAAATTACAATGATGTTTTGAACATTACCATATCTTGCGTTGATAGTGTAATGGTTAGCATTGCTGCCTTCCAAGCAGTAGATCTGGGTTCGATTCCCGGTCAACGCATATCCGCTTTCGGGTCTTCATCATCCTCAATTTGAATGAAATTATTGCATGGTTTTACGGCGACAATAGAAATTAACTTTTGCCTTTGTTAACAAAACCGATTCTTTTTTATTCCATTAGTTTGATATATCCAAAAAAATCAGGAACAACATATTTCGGGTGAATTTACGAGAAACAGAACACTTGCAAAAAACGTTTGAATTATCTTCACTGACATAAATCTTCGACTAATGATCCTAAAAAGGGCCTTGTTTCCAAGAGACGTGCAATATGCAGCCAATAATTTTTTGCTTGAAAGCGTGCTTTTCTTTAAAGACGGTCGTAGGTCCTGCCGAGATTTGAACTCGGATCCTTGGATTCAAAGTCCAAAGTGCTAACCATTACACCACAGAACCAACTTGAAATTTGTTTTGAAACGCATTTTTTTCATTAAAGATTATAACGATGCATATAGGACTGTTCACCATGAATTTCTCCATTCCAACTATCCTGCAAATTTTTTCTATCCCCGATTCTCGACATTTTCTCCATCTATTCGCTACCTTCGATTTTTAACGAAAATTACAATGATGTTTTGAACATTACCATATCTTGCGTTGATAGTGTAATGGTTAGCATTGCTGCCTTCCAAGCAGTAGATCTGGGTTCGATTCCCGGTCAACGCATATCCGCTTTCGGGTCTTCATCATCCTCAATTTGAATGAAATTATTGCATGGTTTTACGGCGACAATGGAAAATAACTTTTGCCTTTGTTAACAAAACCGATTCTTTTTTATTCCATTAGTTTGATATATCCAAAAAAATCAGGAACAACATATTTCGGTGAATTTACGGGAAACAGAACACTTGCAAAAAACGTTTGAATTATCTTCACTGCGATAAATCTTCGACTAATGATCGTAAAAAGGGCCTCGTTTCCAAGAGGCGTGCAGTGCAGCCAATATTTTTTTGCTTCAAAGCGTGATTTGCGTTATACACGGTCATAGGTCCTGCCGAGATTTGAACTCGGATCCTTGGATTCAAAGTCCAAAGTGCTAACCATTACACCACAGAACCAACTTGCAAATTGAAATTAGGTTTGAAACGCATTTTTTTATCAAGGATTATAACGATGCATATAGGACT